AGGAAGTAGGAAGAGGGCTTGGGAATGTCCCGGGCAGCCGGCACCATCTTCTTGCACACCAACACGGCTCTAACACACAGTCTATTTCAAAGAACGAGACTAGAGGGAGCATCGACCTCACGTGTTCAACTGCGAGGCAGTCCTTACTACAGTCGTGAGGTGCCCATCCTCACACAGAAGAGGGTGTGGGGACAGAGTAGATTCCGAGGGACGCCGGGGAAACACGTCTACAGATGGGGGAAAGGGTGCACAAGCCCACTGCCTCGTCGGAATGGACGACAGAATAGAACTTTGGTGACTGCTTGGAAGTGGCTTTATTTACATCGTCATAGTTTGTTTGTTGAAAAGAAGTTGAGAATGGTTTCTCGGGGGTTTTTTTTCCTTCTTCAAGTTTCCATTTGCCCTATTCCGATCCTGGTGGGAGACAGGGGGTATAGTGCCAGACCACTGATCAACGGGACAGCAGCAAACGACCTGTGGGTTCCCCAGGCTCAAAGTAAAGTCTGTGTTCAGTTTCTTACAAGGTGAGGCAGTGCTCATTGGCACTACTACAAGGCCCACCGCATGTAGAGCATTTTATTTAGAGAAACAGGTTTTGAAAGGACTGGTCTTGGTTACAAAATGAAGTATCAAAATTGGGTTCTTCTGGTGCCCTCTGGTGGCGAAAAGGGACAGTCCACGCGTCCTCTGTGACTGAGGCTACTACTGCGACTCTTTCTTTATAGCTGCCTTCAGGTGCGATCAGAAGCCACTTCCGGGGATCAGGAGGCGTGCTGGTACTACTGAAGAGTTGTTCCGACCCTCCCACTCAGATTCCCTCTCTACCTTTTTTTGTCACACGTTGCCTCACTGGGGCATCCTGTGATCCACATGTATTATTGACCCCCCATTTCAGTCCTTCCAGAAATGGGGAAAAAAAATCCAACAGTTGGTTTCTACAGAAAATACTTTAGTGTCATTTGATTTTGCAGACACTTGTGGTGGGAAGGGATTGAGCATTTAGAGGACAGACCTTCAAGTTTGTGAAGAAACCACAGGGTAAACAGTTCCCTCTTCCCAACACTGTGTGAGAGAATAAAGACACACAGTGTCTGATCAAGAGCCAACACAAGAGGCTACAGACTGGTCAGGCACGGCTGTTCGCAGTCTCCCATCTTGCAATGGGGAGTTCCTGTGTCCGCTTACAATCCAGAGACGCGCCTTGGCGGGGTGGTAAACGACCCGGGAAGAGGCCAACTGTGTTCAGACAAAAGAAGTTCTAAATGGCTTTCCGTTATCGCTTCAGGTTCCATGTTGAGTTTTATAACTGGTTATAGGGTAGAAAGCTTTTTAACCGTTTGCAAATCTGCACTAGCAGAGCGGAGCGCGGAAGCGCCCCGCACCCTTCCCAGAGGCTCCACAGTGACATCCGCTTACACCGAGCAGCGGGTTTCGGCCTTTCCACTTAGATGGTCCAGCCGGTTCATGCACACACACTCGACCGTTGGGGTAACTCCTTCTGCGTCGTCCTCAAAACTTACGATGAAGAGGCTCATCCCTGTGTTGGGGCTGACGGAAACCAGCTCGGATTTGCTCAGGGTTGTCGGGAGGGAGCACTTGAGGTCCGACAGAAAATAACCGAACAGGGTTTTCATGTACGCTCCGTGGCTCACGACCAGGACACTGGCGACTAGTCCTGGGACATCGTCACAGCCACCGGGGCTTGTCCCCAGAGGAAACACTTCTGTCAGAGAGGATTCCAGGGAGCTGCCGGGTGCTTCTTGGGAAGGCCGTTCTTCTTGGCCTGCTTCTTTCAGGACCAGCTGACAGAGAAACGAAAAAAAGTCTTTTCCACGCCGTTTCACCTACGAGGAACGAGAGGAAGACAGAAAGGGGATTGTTCAGTGGGCGTGATCTGAATGACTGCCTTCACGCTGAAGCGGAAAACGCAGCAGCTCGGGGGTTTCTCCAGTGTCCACACGTGAACCTCGCCTATCTTTCTATCCATTCGTTCAGTGGCTCCACAGCGCTCACTGCGTCAGCGACGACGGACGCAGACCCCGCGGGGACCAGGGTGGGTGGGGGAACGATGACAGCAGTGCCGGTGTCTGCCTCCGCTGCACCCGCAGGCCAGTTAGGGAAATCTAGCCGTAACCAGGAAACTATGGTGCACTGCAGTTCAGCGCAAAATTAATCTTTCCCTTAACAGAGTAAGATGAAAAAACAAGTCTATTTTAAGAAAACTATGAAACCAGAGGGAGGGGCCAGCGGGAAGCCCTGCCCAGGTGTTTCACAAGCTGCAGACAGAGGGGATGCATCGCAGCGATGACGTCAGTAACAGGTGACAGGGCGGGAGGGGTGGGGGTGGGTGCTCTTGTCTGATGTCACCTATCACTCCCTCAGAAAGGCACCGCACTTACTCGACAGACGGCCAACTAAACCCACCGCGGAGACGCAGAGGCGGGCCGCCCGTTCACTAACAGGCAGGTTTGCGGTTCAGAGCCACCGGCTGCTCTGAGGGAGAGAGCTGTGGTCGTTTCCTTCGGTGACCCAAGAAGGCGCCTCTTGCTCCAAGTCGGGACGTTCAGCCACGGAGAACGGCTCCGGCACAGCTCCTCAGCGCACTCAGCGCACGGGTCTCCAGGAGCCACCATCACGTAGGGCTCCGAGACTCACGGCCAGCAGAGGGCGCAAACGAGCAACACCGGGTTTCGAAATAGACGGGCCATCTGCGCACTGTGTTGACAATCATTAAGCGATCATATTGATGCGGGCCGTTATCACCAGCCAGTTTATGAACCAAGCAGCTTCCCAATGCTCTGGCCAACATTCGTTAAGACTCTAATGGATAAAGCGAGTCCGCTCTCAGCTATCGTATGGCACAGAGAACTTCACCCCAGGTGGCACTACATACCTGGTCTAACGTCTCTCCGCCCGGCGGGGTGAACATGGGAATTTCTTCCCGAGCCGCTTTGGCCAATGCCCTTAGCTCAGTCAGCACCTTGCCTTCTGCAATCCCGTATTTCTGCAAAGGTTTCAATGTGTTAAAGCAGCCTGAGGTAATTATTGTGCCAAGTTGGCCGATAAACACATGTGGGGTTAATTGAAGGGCAGAGGGATAAATGGCTCAGTGAGCCTCGCCTTTCTAGTTCTCCGGTCTCTTGCTTTCTGATGGTCAGACCAGGGTGCAGCTGCCTTAGCCAGTTCCCTGCTTCAGGTTGCAAGGCTCACTTCCTGCAAGACATCCCCAAGGAGAAGCCGCATGGACTACCCCAATGTAGCCCTGGGTGCTGGAGCAGCCACGTGGAAGCCCCTGACAGCGCTGAGATGCTTACACGTTCACCGATTCAGCTTTCCTCCTGCAGTCAGTATCATAGTGTGTTTTGTGAGATGGAGGAGGACTTTGTGGATTGGTGTCGGACATATGGGTTAATGTTGGACTTGTGGGTTTGTGCAGCACTGGGTTGGGATGTTTTCTTTGATGTGCACTTAACCTTTATATAAAACTCTCTCTTACACATGAGTTTCTGTGTATTTGTTTCTGTAAAGTACCCAGACTAACACACAGCCTCAGATGCATTTGCAGACTAAGCACAAGTTCGTAGCAAACATCACTCCTCTGAACTGGCGATTGGAATCTGCTGAGTAGTGGGCCACGTACCCTAGAAAATGTGGGCGAAGCCTCGACCTGTGCACATGGCATGGTGGGCTACACAGAGCACGCATCAAGCTAACGCAGGTTAAAACAGAGAGCGGTGCGGACTCCAGGGCCGGAGGTTAACATGCACGCAGTCCACCGGGGCAGTAACACCACACACACGAATCCCAAGCGACCCTCACAGCAGCCAGTGCGGCAGGTATTTTCAGCTCTGTACTCACACGCGAGAAAGCTGCTTTTCAGAGAGGTGAAGCAACCTGCCTACAGATTCCCTGTCTCTAATAAGCACATCGGGCGCCTTCAAAGTTCAGGTCCTTTGAGATGGAGGCTCTGACAAAGGATCCACAAACCACAAAATAGGAAGACAAGTGGCCAAGAAGCGAGGAATCAGTAATGTGAACATGACTCAGGAAGGTGCCGTTTTTAAGCTCCTGGGGTGGAAGATCAAGAATACTAGTGACACCTAGCACTGGTGTGAGAAAACCAGCACTCTCCGGGATCACCCCAGAGGAGAACTGGCTCTTGACTGGAAGGCAATTCTGCACTATGAACCAAACTCAGTACACACTTCAGCAACTTGATTTCTACAAGTTTAGTAACCACTTCCAGCAGGCTCCTTCCGCCGGCAGTGCCTTGCTTTAAAGGAGCTATGTGAGACGTGTACACTGGAGTTAGTCACTGGTTAGGGAAGAACACTGATGGGTACTTACAGCCACTGAAAACAGTACGTAATCGGAATGAAAAGTTGGTTTAAAAACAGTATGTAAAGAGGTTTCTGCTTTTAAGAAATCTATCGGTAAGCCTACAGTTAAAAGTCAGAAGCACACGGGCCAAAATGCTGTGTGAGCAGGAGAAACGTGGCCACTTTCAGTTGCACAACACACAGTGGACTTCTTGAGTAACACCTAGACACTTATCGTTATGTACGGTCTGGCCAAAAAAGTCTAGCATATTTATCAGACAGAAACCCAGCCATAAACTGCTATGTTTGCTTTGTGTAGAATACAAAACTTAAGATTTAACTATGAATAAGGACTTTTTTAATAATTTAAATTTTAAATGTATGGTGTGCTGACTTAAGATATTTGTATTTTTAGTAAACGTAGATATTAGAATGTATGCAGAATTTGGCTATGAAACCGGTCAATTTTCCAGACCTGAAGTCCAAATTCATACATCTTCATCTGTATATAGAGCAACCCTGGCGACAAAGCAGGGCATTAAAAAACTATCACTTGCTGTGTCTTTACAAGAATGGAAACATTCATTTACTGAACAAGTACTCAGAACACTACTCTTGATGTGACATCAGGCAACGGGGCTCACCAGTGCCGGGAGGGTGTCCCCCTAAGCCCCCCATCCATGTGGAGGCTCTGAGATAATGGACGACTGACCAAGGGGCAGCAGTCCAAAAGTCTATCAGTGGAAAGAGACACAGAACACAAGCCAGTGACCTAACCTGGACTTGGGAAATCACAGAAGACTCGGGCCTAAAGGCAATCGGAAGTTCAAGGTCAAGTTTGCGGAGCTTGAGTTCCAACAAGTGGAATGGACTAGACTCCCACGTTCAGTGGAGAGAGCAACTCAGAGAATATCAGTGGCCTAGAGCAGTGGTTCTCAAGCTTCCTCATGCAGCGACCCTTTCATACAGTTCCTCCTGTGGTGGTGACCCCCCAACCATAACATTATTTTCGTTGCTACTTCATCACTGTCATTTTGATACTGGTATGAATTGGACGACTGCTGTGAAAGGGTCGTTTGACGCCCCCGAGGGGGGGTCGCGACCCACAGGTTGAGAACCACTGGTCTAGAGCCCTGGTTCCATGGTCTGAGGCCCTGCGTGGAATCTCGGCTCTGCCCTTACTTGCCTGGTTACCCTGGGCATGGACTGAACCTCAGGGGGTGTCTCCGCTGCGGCATCTGTAAAGCAAGGATGACGGAGAGCGCCCTGCTCACGGGGTTGTCGTGAAGATGACACAGTGCCGGCAGGCAGCAAGCGGCCTTGTTCTGAAGGCCGATGGACTGAAGGCACAGTGAAGAGGAAGGCGGCAGGCTGTGCACCAGGTCTCGTGGCAGGTAAAGCCTCTGGACACCCTCTTCCGGGAAAAGGCCGCCAGGGAATTACTGGGCAGAGGCTCAGCCGTCGCTCAAAAGTTCCCAGGCTGCCATCTGGAGACTGGAGTGGATGAGAGGGTGTCCGACAGAAAACACGAGGACTGCTAGAGTGATCAAGGTGAGGGATGACACCCGTCGGCAATGGGAGGGCAGCCAGTAGGACTGGAAAAAATTAACAGAGTCAAGGGCAGCGGTGAGTTTCAGCTGCCATGATGGTCATAAGATTAAGTGTCCAAGACCATGAAGAGTCCAGAAAGAATGCCTTGGTGACATGAGTTAGGCAGGAGCCGGCAGAGCAAAGAGAGGGAGGCCCAGAGAGTGGGAAGTAGCTGAGGAGCCCTCCTGGCACTGCAAGGTAAACGGTGGACAGCTAGCCACAAGGTCGGCAGTTCAGACCCACCAGCCAATCTGTGGCAGCATTGAGGCTGCCTGCTCCTGCAGAGATTCAGCTTTGAACACCCAACATCGGTTAGAGAGTAATGGGGCTGGTTTGGGGTTATAGGGTAAATAATCAAATAGTAAGCAGGATGATATGTGAGTGTGAAGCTCTGTTATTAGATCTAAGCTAAATATATGCGTGTGTACATGTATATATATTCATATGCACTATCTCTTTTGTAAAGGAGAGAATAAGACTACATATATATTTTTACTATACAATATACTATATATACACACACTGTATGTTTTTGTGTGTATGTATATAGACATACACACTGCGTGAGACACGTGAGAGACTTTGTGACAAGACTGCCTGTTTGTCCAGGTCTCACAGGTTCCCACCTGGCCACGTGCAGTCCCATCACTTGCCTATCACTCTCAACTCCTGGACGGCATGTGACGGGTTTCCACCGTACACAGTGTGGGAGTTGTGCCATCTGTTGTCAATTTGAGACTTAGAGTGAAGGGGTGGAGTTTAGCCATCAATCAGCTTGATGACCTCATTTGGAGGCACTAGGGAGATAAATAGCTTGCTGGAGGTGGGACACAAGCACACTCCCTGCGAGACATTCCTGACAATGAGGCTGATGGAGCTAGGCTGATGAAGCCACAGCCCTGGAGCTGGAGGAGCCACGTGGAGACCTCTGCCAGCGCTGAGATGCTTCCACCACCACTGGAACCACAAGACTTTCTACCCACTGGCCTGTGATCTTCCTGCATTTGGCATCATTGCATGGCTGTGTGAGTCTAAAGAAGAATTTATGGACTAGCATTGACATATGGGGGTGTTATCGGACTTATGGACTTTATCTGGACTTGATTGGGATGTTTTCTCAATATTCAATTGCTTTTGTATGTAAAGCTTTCTTATACACATAAGTGTGTTTATGAATTTGTTCTTCTAGTCTACCCGGACGAACACACCTGGGGGCTCCCGTTGTCACAGGTTTTCCTGTATTTTCAAAGCCTTGGCCCACTACCTTGAGTCAAGGGAAAGGCTGACACAGGCCCCAAAGGGTCCAGAGGAAGAAAAGAAGATGTCCTAGCTAAGGAAAATGCCTTCTACTATGTGATAAAAGCCCCATCTGCCCACCCCCACCCACTTTTTTGTTTGTTTGTTTTTCAAAGTAACTTTTGAGCATTTGTCCTCAGTGAGTCTTTCCAAGAGCATTGGTGATGAAGTGCTACCGTTTCAGACACGAAAGGAATTAGGAGTCCCTGGCTGGTCGAGAGCCCCGGTGGCACAGTGGAACTCACGTGGGACTGCGAGCCACAAGGTCAGCAGCTCAAACCTGCCAGGCTCCCCAAGGGGGAAAGATGAGGTTTTCTGTTCCTGTAAAGATCTCCGGCCTTGGAAACCCAAAGGAGTTCTCCTCTGTCCTGTACGGAAATAGAGGGTCCTAAGGGAGCACCTCACTTTTATGTTCAACTGTCCTGTGTGAAGTTCTTGGCCACACATCCTGCACCTATGATGGAAGGCAGGCATCAAATACGGTACTGATTATTAAACAATAGGGTGAAATATGTGGCCGTCTGTCACCAAACTGCTTACCCTTTCTCGAAGTCTGGAATCATACGTTACAGTCATGTCCTTGCAAAATTTACTCTTCTCCAAAATCCCGTGCATGGTCTGAAAATCAAAACACAGCGGTCTCATGAAAACCATCGTCATTCCAGCAGAAAGGTCAAGTCCTTCCAGCTTTGTTGGACCTCTTTTGCGACAGGTCGAGAACAGCCTTCCTTTTTCAAAGCACTTTTACTGGGGGTTCTTACAGCTCGTAAAACACTCCATACATCAATTGTATCAAAGCATATCTGTACATATGCTGCCATCATCAGTTCCAAAACATTTCCTACCTGAGCCCTTGGTATAAACTCTTTTTCCCCCTCCCTCCCTTGTGAATGCCTGATCAATTACATATTGTTGATACCATTTCGTATCTTACACTACCCGGTCTCCCTCCGCTCTCGCGAGGCTGTTTCAGGTGCCCGCTTGCCAGCGTGAGGTCTTTCTTTCTGCAGCACTCGGCACACGCACTGACACCTCCCTCCCTTGGCCGGTGGGGACCGAGCACGGTTCCCAGCCCTGCGGGAGTGCTAGGAATGCCAGCTTACAGTTCTTCGGGAAGTACTCTCTCCCGAACGTGTCCTTTAGTTTGGCTTCCAGCCGATCCACTCTACGTGTGCCGATTAACATCTCACCAAACACGATCCACTCTACATGTGCCGATTAACATCTCACCAGATATGAGGGGTCCCGGGGCCCACTCTGATGCTTTCCTGTGCAACACCCTTCTCCGGTCGTCAGCACCACGGACTTCAGCGATGCTCCCTTCCCCAAACACCAGGTTTCATCTCTTCAACACGTCGCGTCGTGACCCCTGGGGTCCACGAGGATTCCCGCCTTCCTCCTAAACCAAGACCATCTGCGTGCTCACCCTCCCTCAGCCCTTCATGCAGGGGCTGGGGGACACGTTCCCATGTGGCCTGATGGCTCTGTCTGCAAACACGTGTACTCGACCTTGCGTCTTGCTTTCTAGTGTTCATGGGAGATCTAAGACTAAGTCTCAAGCCTCTTAAATCCCGCACGGTTGCAAAAGTCATCAGCCACTGAGTTTCTCGTTTCCACAGGATATTCTATATTGATAGAAGTTGGTTTTATTTTGTTTTATACTACAAAAAGGCTCTTTGGAGCCATTCATTAACAATCTTCCGTCATGTATTGCTTCTGTGGGCTTCCTCCCATTGACCCTACTTATGTATGATTTTTTCCCCCCAAAGCTAATCCAATTTGAAAATTACCAAAATAAAATAAGGAAAATCAGCTCTCATTAGGGGTGGGATTAGGGGTGATGGGGTCTCTGTGATTGAATCCCTACAGACTCTGCCATCCCATTTCCCAAGGTTACAGCACAGGGGAGGCTTCTGATTCCGCGGCCATAGGCTTGCCCCGTCGTGGTACCTGCTTTGTCCGGATGAGGTCGCTGGAGAACGCATGTGTAAACTTCACCTTGTGGAGGAACAGCCCCGCAGCCGCTGCTTGTTGGAACCCCGTCTCTGAAAGGGGCTCGTCTATTCCTTGTCCTGTGGCATTAGGAGAAAGAACAATGCTTTAACTGTCAGAAAATTTAGAAGGAACCCCATTAATTGACATGCAAAATACTCTGCGTTGCATGATCAGATTCCCTTAGGCGATTTCCCGCATCACTGTTCAGAGAACTGACAACCAGTAAGATGAATCCACTTTCTATAAAGGCTACATGTTACAGGTCACATAGTGTGCTCCTTGGAGAAGCCCCGAGCCCTACACCTATGATGGGGCCTACAGGGCTTGGCCGTCACTTTGTACTCTGAAGCCACCAGCTGCTCTGCAGGTGAGCGATGGAACCTGCTCCTGTGAAAGTGACAGCTTTGGCGATCTTAACCGAACAGATCTTACACGATGAACTGGGTGACAGTGGCTTTCCGTGTGACTGCAATCCCATTTGGAAATGGAGTTCTCTTCACAATATTAACAAGGCCATGCCTGCACACGCCACGATCAAACCAAACCAAACTCACTACCATCATGGCCAAGCCAACTCATGGCAACCCTATAGGACAGAGTAGAACTGCTGCCCCTGTGGACTCCTGAGACTAGCTTTTTATGGGAGTAGAAAGCCTCGTCTTTCTCCCAAGGTGGTTTCACACTGCTGACCTTGCTATTAGCAGCCCAATGCGTAACCACAACACCACTGTGGTGGTTACATCATCTGGTGTCAATCTGGGACTCGAGAGGATTAAGAGTGAAGGGGTGGAGTCTCGTAGGTCAATCGGGTCATAGCCAATGAGGCCTCTGTGTGGACATGGCCTTCTCCTGAGGATTCTGGGGAACTCCTGTATTTTTCTCCTTGGAGGCGGGAGACACACTCTCTTGGCTCACTCCGTGAGACATTACAGACAAAGAGCCTGATGGAGTTACGTTGATGCTGCCAGAGTCGAGCTGGAGGAATCAGGAGGAGGCCCCTGCCAGCACTGAGATGCTTACAATGCCACTGGATCCACAAACTTCCCACCCACGGGCCTGTGATCATCCTGCATTCAGCGCCATTGCATGTGTTTCGTGAGTCTAAAGAGGACTTTATAGGCTGGTATCAGACATATGGGTTAATATCTGACTTATGGACTTGATCTGGACTGGGCTGGGATGTTTTTTTCAATGTTCAATTGCTCTTGTAGATAAACCTCTTCTTATACACATGAGTGTCTATGAATTTGTTTCTCTAGTCTACTCAGACTGACACAACCACCAGGGCTCCAGACGTGGAGGCCAGCAAGCACCTGGAGAAGAGTGGCTGGTAAGCACATGTGGAAATCGCCAAGGAGCCCAGCAGAGCCGAGACGAGGGAAGCTGTGTCAAGCTGTTCCCCTAGAGCAGTGGGTTCTCAACCTTCCTGATGCCACGACCCTTTATATAGTTCCTTATGATATGGTGACCCCCAACCATAAAATTATTTTCATTGCTACTTCATCACTGTCATTTTGCTGTTATGAATCGGGTGACCCCTGTAAAAGGGCCGTTTGACCTCCAACGGGGTCACGACCCACAGGTTGCGAACTGCTGCCCTAGAGCCAGTATCCCGAAACCAGACTTCTAGCCTCCTGAGGTGTGAAAAACGCATTCCTCCTCCTTACGGCCTTGCCTTGCACGTGGCCTTCTGCTCGAGCAGCCCTAGGAAGCGCAGACGCAGTTACCTGCCTGTTTCCAAGGGTCATTCTCCCTGACCAGTTAGATGGCGTGGGCCAAACTTTCTTAAGGCTTTTCCCTATTGGCTGTAGTTGGTTCATGTGGACTCTGCGTCTATGTTCCCAGCTTGGGTGGTGTCTTACAGTAAGAGATCACTGGTTGATTCCTGTCCCCTTGGCAATCTGCTCAGTATTCCAACGGGATGGCTTTTCGTCTTTGTTTTCTGCTTCATTTCAAAAATACTTTCAGGAGCAGGGCTGGCTGGGCGCCCGACAGCCCGTTCCATTTCAAAAGAGTGAAACGGAGGCTTTCTACTCTGTAAAGAGTTGCCGTCTCAGAAGCCCCCAGGGCAGTTCTACCCTGTCCTATAGGGTCGCTGGGAGTCAGACCCGACGAGAGAGGGGCGAGGAGCAGTACACTGAAGCTTAGCAGGGGAGGCTCCGGGAAGGCTGTCACTTGAGCCCCGCTGCTCTTGGGGAGGGAACGCCTGGCCACCTGCTCCAATAAAGGTGGGAACCCGAGGACAGCTCCGCTCTGTCACACGGGGTCCCCACCCGACAAGAAAGAAGGACAACGGTGGCAAGGGGCTGAAGTGCAAAAGATGGCTTGGGTGGGTACGTGTCGTTTGAGAAACAAAAGTTCACTTATCAGTCTTGTTTCCAGAAGGAATTACGTACACTGGATGTGAAAACAAAAAGTTCCTGATAAGAACAATAAAAACCCTAAATGCACAGAAAGTGTGTGTCTCGCTGAAGGTTCACCTCAGAGAGTCTTTAAAAAGTCAGAGCTGGCTCCCCGGGGGCTCCAGATGGGAGGCAAAATCTGCCATAATGAAGTTAACTCCATTGAGAAGGGTCCTCTTGGTTAAGTCTCATCTTGGTTACTACCGAAATTAAAACAACCATCTCAGCAAAAAAAAAATTCCCATTTTCACCAGTCAGTACACTTTATGAAACTTCCAAATACGGAGTTATTTTAAACCTAGGCAGCTATATTTTAAGACATCTAGACCCACTCACCATCAGCCGCTAAGTCAGCCGACGGGGCCACTTTGAAGCTACTCGCTAACAAGTTTGACATCCAGTTTACCTGGGACATTTCTTCCTCTTGGTTGACAATTGTTCGGATCATATTTGTTTTCACGATGCTTAAATCCCATAATCCCAATTCACAGCCCCCAGGTCAGGCCACCCCCACCAAATCTGATGAATTAACATATCGCGATAACATTACAGGGATGAACTGACAGCACAGGTGTCTACCAACCTTGCAGTATTTTCTCCTTGTTAAATCTGGTTTCGCCACTAAAATAAAAGGGAAGAAGGGGGAAAAACGTGATTATCGAATTATGTTACTTTGAGATTAAGAAAAGAATCCACATTAAGTGTTACTAAGATCAACAGGACCCTGAAGGGCAATGGTGTATCTTATGAACCTTGTAAAACACACCCTTCACCAACAAGCCCATGGAAACACGATTCATTCTCTGCCAACATTCCTTATTCCACTCTGCAGGGGAGAATCCGGAGTGGGGTGAATGGTCAATGTGCGGGGCTGCAAACCAAAAGGCCCCCAGGAATCCCTGGGAAGAGTCTGGTGACCTACTTCCGGAAAACCAGCAATTGAAGACCCCATGGTGAAGGAGGAAATGGGGAGGAGGCCCTCTTACTTAGGGGCCACTGAGTTTCTGTGAATGGTGGCAGAATTGCAGGGCGATGACAGCAGGGAGGGTAGCATAACTTGAAGAATGTAAACGCGGAACTGTACATGCATGACTTTCTGGGGTCCTAGGAGCTAGGTGGACCCCCAAAACGAGTGCTCTCGAGGACCTTTAAGTCCCAAATACCCATGACATCTGAGAGTAATTAGTAAGTGACCTCTGCCTGGAATACCGTGCTCGTTTTAAACGATCAATCTACATATCTGAGATCAAATTGGCCACAGCAACCCGACTGGATTAGCAGCGTTACGGGGCCGTGAGCTCACATTAATTGGGGGGCACACACCCAACTCCAAAGGAAGCGGAGATTGGCTGCACACCTGGAAGAGGTTAACTAACGTCACTGCACTGGAGAAACTAGGACAAAATAAACCGCCATTTTTTCTTCAGAAAAAAATAATTGGAGCATAAAAAGAAAAAGACAAGCTCACTGCCATGAGTCAATTCCAACTCACAGCAACCCTATAAGACAGGGTAGTACTGTCCCTGTGAGTTTCTGAGGCTGTAACTCTCCATGGGAGTAGACAGCCCCTCTTTCTCCTGAGGAGTGGCTGGGGGCTCCCAGGTGCTGCCTTGCGGCTCACAGTCCAATGTGTAAGCTCTACGCGACCAGGGCTCCTGTAAGAGATGCAACAAGGGTGCCTAGTTTAGGGGTCAGGCTGTGAGTCATACTGTGGTAGCCTGTGTGTTTGGGGGGGTGCTCAAAGCTTTATCACTGGTATCTCAAATGCCAGCAGGGTCGCCTGCAGGGAGCAGGTTTCAGCAGAGCTTCCAGGCTAAGAACAGACCACGAAGAAGGAATAGGCTCAGCATCATGACATAAACAGAATAAAGATCGGAGTTGTCAGGCATTTCGTCTTGCTTGGATCCACAAGCAGTGTTTACGGACGCCGCAGTCAAGACATCAAATGAATCACTGCATTGGGTAAATCTGCTGCACAAGGCCTCTTTACAGTGTTGAAAAGCAAGGAGGCTGCTTTGAAGACTAAGGGGCACCTGACCGAAGCCGTGCTACCTTCAATGGCCTCTTCTGCATGTGGAAGCTGGGCACCGACAAAGGAGACTGAAGAAGCTACGCATTTGAAGCATGGTGCTGGGGAAGAATATTGCAGGTGCCGGGGACTGCCAAAAGAACAGAAGCGTCTTGGAAGAAGGGCACCCAGACCACTTCTTACACACCAGGATGGAGAGACTTCATCCCGTGTACTTTGGACACGCTGTCAGGAGAGACCAGTCCCTGGAAAGGGCTATCACACTTGGTCACGTAGAGGGGCAGTGAAAAAGAGGAAGACGCTTTAGGAGATGACTGACACAGTGGCGGCACCAATGGGCTCAGGCACAGGGAAAATTATGAGGATGGGGCGGGACCGGGCAGGTTTGTTCTGCTGTGCAGAGGGTTGCTATGGGGAAACTTCACGGCACCTGGCAATGAGTCAGAATTCGTGTGATGGCAGTGGTCAGCTTGGTTCCCACTGCAATGAAGATGGATGGTTGAGACAAAGAATATAAAACCTCAATATTAGTATGTGGACTCCCTAAGTGGTGTAATACTTAAATCCTCGGTAACCAATTAAAAGGTTAGTGGTTCAAACCCACCTAGAGGTGCCCCGGAAGAAAGGTCACAGGTGTGAAAGCTCAGTGGGAGCACACGTTTACGCTGCCACACACCGGGTAGCCTTGAGTGGAATCGACTCCAGAGCAACTGGTTTAGATGGCCCTGTAACTAAGAGTTGGCCTTGTAGAGTTACTGGGTTATAGAGGGTACAAATCTTCAGCTTTATTAAAGAATGTCAACAGGACTGCTACATTACAGAGGGGGCACTAACTGCTCTGCAGGAGGAAGATGAGGCTGTCTGCTCCCATAAAGATGTACGGAAACCCAAAGGAGCAGCTCTACTCTGTCCTACAGGGTTGCTAAAGGTCATAATTGGCTTGATAGCAGAGGTTAGATACAAGAGCCAAGGAGCATTGGTGGTGCAGAGAGTTAAGTGTGAGGCTGTAAAGGTAAGGTTGGTGGTTCAAACCTTCCAGCTGCTCTGAGGAAGGAAGATGAGGCTGTCTGCTCCTGGGGAGATGTACAGGTTGGAATCCCTCTGGAGCCATTCCCTCCTGTTCTGCAGGCTCATCAGCAGTAGGGTTGGTGTCCGATTACAGAGTTGCTGCCCATGGCAGCAAATTTGATTTTTTCCCCTTCTTATAATAGTGTTCCACATTCTCACAAGTATTAACTCCAGATAAATTACTAACATACATTTTTCTTTGTGTGCATCTGGTACGGGGTGGTTCATCGACATTGATCTTCACTTGCTTTTCTCCTCCGTTTACTATGAAGACTGCAAGTTCCTGCCCTGCTGCTCCATGAAGCACCCGTTTTACAGGGCACAGCCAGAGAGAGGGCCTGTGATATGAAAATGCCCCGTGCTGGGGGGCAGCATGAGAAGCAGTACAACCTTGGGGAATGCACGCTGCTCATGAAGGACCACTGGGCAACGTGGAGCAGAATCAGAACCCGGTAGACCCAGTTTCAAAGGGTAGCTCAAGAAAACAAAGGCAAATATTATAACAAACTATAGAAAGATCTACAAGTAGAAAATCAAAATGGAGAAGCAGACTCAGCACATGTGAAACTGAAAGGACTCAGAAACATTCAAGCCTTAAATGGCAATATGGAAAGTTTCTACCCGGGGATCCAGCAGGCCCCGTCCTGGGACACCTGTATTCAATGCGCTTTTAGAACACTCTCTGCTCCCGTTGTTGTCAGATGGCATTGAGCTGGCTCTGACCCGGGCACAACAGAAGAAAGCCTGCACTGTTCTGCGCCATCCCTACAATGGTTCTAATGCTTGAGCCCACTGCTGCAGCCACTGTGCCAATCCATCTTGTTGTGCCTGCCTCCTTTTCCCTGCCGCTCGAACTTTGTCAAGCATGATGTCCTTCCCCAGGGGCCGGTCTCCCCTGGTAACACATCTCATCGTCCTTGCCTCTAAAGGGCATTCTGGTCGTACTTCTTCCAAGACAGACCAGCTTGTCCTTTAAGCAGTCCATGGTTCGCCCAACCGTCTTCTCCGGCACTACAACTGAAATACATCAATTCTTCAATTTTCCTTACTCCATCACCAACTTTCCCATGCATATGAGATTGAAAAGGAAAGAAAGAAAAGGTCAAAGTGGATGTCAATAGAGACTCAGAAACGTACTCTTCACCGACGGGTAGCTAAAGCAAATGGAAGAAATGATGACGTCGAAGAGCTGAATCGAAAACTTCAAAGGGCAGCTTGAAAAGACAGTCAAATATGATAAGGAAATGTGCAAAAACTAATCATTAGAAACCAACCGAAAGAGCACACTAAGCACAACTTAAAGTGAAAGAACGCAAGAAAAAAACGTCAAGCTTTGAGTTGCAATCTTGAAAGATCCGATGGGCACAGTAAGCAACAAAAGATGACAGAAATAATACACGGTCACCTTGCCAAAAAAAGCTAGTCGACATCCCACCATCTCAGGAGTTAATGTGTGAGCAATGGTGCTAAAGGAAGAAGTCCAAGCTGCACCGAAAGGGTTAGCCAAAACAAGGCTCCGGGTATTGATGGAATGCCAATTGAAATGTGTCAACAGGCTGATGAAGCGCTGGGAGCTCTCACTCGTCCATACCAGGACATTTGGAAGGCAGCTTGTGTTAGGCCAGGTTGACTATAGAGACAAAACCAGCGACACTCGTACATGTGTGTATGAAAGTGCTTTGCATCAAGTCATTATACATCAAGAAAACACCCCAGCCCAGTCCAACTCATGTCCGTACGTCCAGTACTAGTCCTAAGTCCCTCTTATACCCTGAGAAGAATGGAATTCCAGAACGTTTCAGGGTGCTCCTGTGGAATTTGTACAGGGATCAAGAGGCAGTTGTGCAAACAGAACCAGGGCATACAGCATGGTTTAAAATCAGGAAAGGTGTGCGACAGGGTTGTATCCTCTCACCCTACAAATTCAATGTGTATGCTGAGCAAATCATCAGAGAAGGCAGATTAGATAAAGAAGAATGTGGCATTGGGCTAGGAGGAAAGCTTATTAACAACCTGTGGTATGCAGGTGACACAACCGTGCTTGGTGAAAACGAAGAGGACTTGCTGATTAAGATCAAGGACCGTAGTCTTCGGTATGGATTTACAACTCAATGTA